TGTGTGTGCGTGTGTGTGTGTGGGGGTCTTGTTCTGTGTGAAAACGAAGCAGTACAAGTGATAATGCTGCAGGATTTCGTGATTTTATCCTTCTCAGCAGCAGCACTGCAGGTGCTCTCCATGTCCAACATGTGCGTAAGCAAGGTCCTTAGTCAACTTAAAGTTGCGCATATTTTTCCGTTAAGTTTTCCTTCATAAATCCCAAAGTTTGCGTGGAAAGTTGCTTACACAGTTTTCTGACCCCGTTTTGTGCGTAAGCAAGGTTGATAAATGAGGCTCCTGGCTACTAATTATGCTGTTTAAAAGCTTCATACTTTGCAGCATTTGCCTAGGGTACATTTTACAATTGCAAGTATAAATAATTAAAGTTTGGATGAATCTTAGGGTGCCCCTTTGCATTTTTCTTTAATGTAAAGAGTTTTCTGTTTTTATAATTATCACATGCAAAAGGTAAAAATTTGTATGTGATTTAAATAAAACTGTAAGAATTCATTGGATAAAAATCACCAACTAAACTTATTTTTTTATTAGTTATTTGTATCAGACCTTTTAAATAATCACTATATGTGCATTCATGAGTAAATAAATACATGAAAACTGCATGAGGCTAGATTATTTTGAGCTCAAGTATGACAGGGGTTGGCTAATTGGTATGGCCTGGGTAAACAGAGACAAGCTCCTGAGTCATGAGAAAGCAGAGGACTAAAATAGTCAGACATGACGCCCTGTCTCTTGTTGATAATGAATCAGTAGCCAAACAAATGACCGACCCTAATATTTATGCTCATCTTGAAAATTAAAGCAAGCCACTGGTTTTAAAGCAAACTGATCTCCACTAACAACCTGGGACAGTCAGTGTCCAGCTTTTAGTAGCCTGACTGATGAGGGATAAAACATGACCCTTCGTCAGCACAGCATTAAATGACTATTTGAGGAGCCGCTGGCTTAGCTGAGTACGTTAACACCAAGGCCATGTACCATTCAGAGTTCTGACACAGCAGCTTCTTCCTCCCACAGAGACTACACACACATTTCTAAAAAAAGCAAGGTGCATACAAGTCAGGCTGTAGTTGCCGGGGCAACTCATTGTTACAGCTGTGACTGATGCTCATTAGGATAACATTAGAGAGTGGAAGCAAAACTGCAAGTCATGGGGAAAATGTTCCGTGCTCACTAGTACGAGGCCCAGAAACAATATGTAAAGGCTGCATGCAAAGTAAGCTGGAAAGTTTGTGTACCGGGAAAACTAGTCAGGACTTGTGTGTGTGTGTGTGTGTGTGTGTGTGTGTGTGTGTGTGTGTGTGTGTGTGTGTGTGTGTGTGTGTGTGTGTGTGTGTGTGTGTACGTACGTGCGTGTGAGACAGGGAGTTTTAGGGAGGAGCAGACTATAGTGAACCTGACAGCAGTCACATAGCCATCCTCTCCACATGAGGACCAAGAATCAGCTGGCAGTGTGTGTGTGTGTGTGTGTGCGTGTGTGTGTGCGTGCGTGCGTGCAGGGGGGCTGCCAGAGATTTTGGGCCCCATGAAAAAATATGAAGTTGGGCCCCCTGGGGGCTCGTCCATAGCTGGAGCTGGGGTTCCACCCTCCTAGATTCGAAGGGAGAATAAAATATAATATATATACTTTATATTAGTGTTTCAGTTTTGCTTAATTATGTAGGTCTACATGCATTCTTACTTATTTACATATAATTTTCATCAGCTGTCTCTCATTAAACAGTGAATTTCATTCAACAGAATTAGCAATATCACTGCTGGAAAAAGCAGGAAATGCACATGCTGAAAGATGTTAATCTCCTTTTCCCTATTACTCCCTTTAAATGTGTGTATTTATTCTAAAATTTTATTTGATAAAATTCAAATTTGGATATCTAATTAAATTTCCATGTTGTGTCAAAGCTTTACATAACTACATTTTCAGCTGTCTTTCCTCTTGAAATCAAGTATTTCTGTATGACTGACAAAAATTAAGGATTCACTGCTCACAAGGTGACATATTTATTAAGTCTCCATGGCTTCATCACAGACACAAAATGAATAAGCACACAGTTCAAACCGGAGTCAGTTAGGGTTACATAAAATTTTAAAGTTGGATAACTTTGAATGAATACTTATATAAGTCTCTAAACACCCATTTTTCTCAACAACAATAAAAAACAGCTAAAAATATATTCAGCCTTGATTGTACACAGCAAGATTTATTATTTACAGTGATATAATTAATAATGCTCGATGACGATCAATACTAGATTTCATATTTTATTGTGTTCAATGTTATATTAAGTTTATTTATGACAATTATTAATAGCTTTTGTTTCAGTTTTGCTCTCTGATTAATTATTTGGAAATTACTGATTTTTGGTTTGTGTTCTAAAAGCTACATAAACAAATTACATCTTGTAAAACCTCCCATAATTCAGTCAGATTCAAAACATTTCATTTCAAGGTATTTAGTAGATGAAGAGGTTTTTTTCTTGTATGGTGCCTTCAAAAAGGTGCTTCACAGTAATAATCTCACAGTAATTTATGTTACATTAACAGACTAAATAACATGCTTCAACCTGCCCAGCATCCAAAACAATCTATACATTTTTACTGATTGATATTTATAATTATCATTATGTGGAAAAACAATGTGTTTATCACCAAAAATAGCCTTTTTATATTCCTTTGTAATAGTACTGATAGAGAAGAGAGCCTTAAGTGATTCCCACAGACCCCCTTAAATGAGGCTGCTAGCTAACATGCTACATTGCTCACCTTCTTGAGGTTCATTGGGTTGTGAGGGGACACCTGCTGACATATCATCAGCTGCTGATTCTGGTAGGGACAAGGACAACAACCCATTTACCATAATTAGATGAAACATAGTTCCTCTCACTGTGGATATCAGAGCTAGCTAACAGGTTGAATTTAACCACTCACTAACTAAACCAACCTTTCTTTGAGAAAAACTGTGTGACATACTGATGCCCTCTCTTCTGCCTTTCGTCTTTCTCCTTTCTTTCTTTCCTTTCCTGTGACCCAGACTTTGTTTTTGCAGACATATTTTTACTGCAGCCTTGACGCACTGGCTGTCTGAGTGACTGCTGCGAGAGCTAGCCTCGCTTGCTACGCGCCCCCTTGCCAGGTGGACTGTACCATTTTGTGCCGTTGGGGGTGGGGGTGTTCAAATTAATTAGTCAAAATAAAGTAGGAACCTCTGAATAAATATACATTTCATAAAGACTAAAAGAGTGTTTGTTTAATGTCTTAAATGAGGAAAAAATACTGCAAAGTAAAGTACTTGTGATTTTTAAACTTAACTTTTTTTAATTCAACATTGAAACATTTTTGGGCCCCTGACAGCTGTGGGCCCTTAGAATCTTCCTAATCTTTCACCGCTTTACGGCACCCCTGCGTGCTTGCGTGTGTGTGTGCAGCTATCAAAATGAGGACATTTGCCAAGTCCTCATTATTTTTATCACAGAAATGGTTGAGAAATCAGATTTTTTTTAGATTAAAATTAGGATTAGAATTATCTCTTTTTATAGCCTAAATTGAAATCTTGGTCCAAAAATGTTAAAATGTTCAAAATTAGCTATATAAAAATTGCTATTCCAACCTTTCATTGATTTTAGAAATGTATATATTTTCCTTTGAAATATTAAAAAAATTAGTCAGAAAATCGAAGGTTTTTTACTTTTTTATAACAGAATGTTTTAATAATACACCCTAACTTTAGGATTTTTCAAATGTTTCCAAATCACTTTCAGTGAGAGAATTTCGAGCTGGCAGTCCTCAGCAACACAACCAAGATTACCCACCCTTGGAAACCAGGAAGTAATAAAACCATAAAGGTGTTTGTCCAAGCAAAGTGGTAAAAGCATCACCTAGACATGCTTAAAACCAAATGCTTAAAGACAACAATCTGGGAAGTTTTAACATTTAATTAAAGATACATTAAATTAATTAACATTATTAAATTAAATCATTTAAAATTTAGGGTTTGCAGACTGACACTGAAACTTATTCATGTGGCACTGACAACTACAAGTTGTCCAAAAAGCATTTAAGAAAAAAGTTAAAAAGGAGATGCATTATGTCTTTTTTTTCTTGTTAAAATAGTTATATGGTCGAAACCAGGGGTGGGCGAGGGCCGCTATCCTACATGTTTTAGTGTTTTTCCTGTTTCAACACACCTGATTCCAATCAGCAGGTGATTAACCAGCTTCTGAAGAGCTTGAGCTGCTGAACAGGAGAATCAACTGTTGGAATCAGGAAACTACAAAAAAATGCAGGCTACCGGCCCTCAAGGACTGGAGTTGCCCACCCCTAGTCTAAACAAAAGATGTTTACGAAGTTCTTTGCAGTAAATCCCACTCACATAAAGCAATTTCAGCAGTTTTATTCTAAAAATAATCCATACTTTTGTGAATACATCACTTCAGGTCTCTGTCTCTATGGAAACAAGCTGGAGATTGCCACGCCCACTCATCCCCCACTCAGGCTGCTAGAAGCTGAGAGGCTCCAAAACCTGGGAGGGGCTCAGAGTAAAGCCAAGTATTTTTTATAAAGTAGCTTTCTCCAACACCTTTTTTAGGAGCTTCAAACCTTCATACATCATTCACTATTTCCATTTTGAATAAAAAAAATTACAAAAGCCAAATAAAAAGTGAAAAAGTTTTCATCAGACAGAATAAAAAATAGAAACAGTCTGCAGGACTAAACTTGATTTTAGTCTTTTTGTGTTTACATGGACAGCTGTCAATATTTTGATTTTTTTTTTCCTTTGTCAGAAAGCAGAAGTTAATAGTTACTACAATAAGGTAATGTAATACTGCTTTTGTTTAGTGAGACAGATTAACCACTGGTACTCTACCAAGACTGGATCTGCCAGTCAAAGGGTTAACAGTAACATCCCACTTTACAACTCTGTTCAAGTATCCAGCCAGCCAGCCATTTTTTGTATCAAGTTCAAACTCATCTTACTGACAGAAATTAGCAGACATTGTAAATTATATTTAAGTGGATTTATTGGTCCAGCAGATGCAGAAAAAAAAACTACACACTCAGTTCTGGCATTATAAAGGTGTGTCCCTCCCTCCAGCCAGTCATTCAAAACTACATAAATAACTAAAAAGTAAAAAACAAGAAAGTTTTACAAAAAATAACTTCAAGTATACTGAGCAGACATGTTATTTTTCTGAGTCAAGCATCAGCTTTTTCCCCTCCCAGTTAGTACAAACATACTCCCCCTGAGTAATACTAACCCGTAACCCCCCCCCCCCCCCCCAGTCCAGTTCACTGTATGTACACTAACATTTACAAAGATATTATTAACAGCACGCAGGGTACCAAAATATAGTTGCTTCATTCTGTGCATAGCAGTCAATGACCGCAAACAACAAACTCTAATTTTACCGGGTAACAAGAAACAGTTTGCACTGTGGCACTGATCCTAAAGAAAATCAAACAACAAAAAGATAAATATTAAAATGATATGAGCTATTAGAAATGTTGCGTTTCTCTTCTAGAAATTAAGTTCAGAGAAACCACAAGAGAAGCTGCGTCAGGCTTGCAAAACAAGCGCTACAGGCACTCTACGGCAAAGATCACCGCCATGGCAAAGATAACACAGAACAAAAACAACAATATCCATCACTACTGTGCAAAATGTTGCCTGGTTTGTAGCTCGTCAACATCATTTATCAAATGACTAAGGTGAAATTATTTATAAGACTGAGAAAACAAATCTGGTATTGGGATCCAAATCTTTGGTCTTCAACATAAACCAAATGGAACACTGTCCAGGGGGCCGCTCGGGCAGTCATAGAGATGAACAAATATCAGGGGCGCAAAGTAAAGAGCAAGAAAAATACCGTAAGTTACATTTAGAGAGAAAAGAGGGATTTTAAAAGTACAGTAAAAGTGTGTCCTTGGCTGACAAAGAGAACATGTCTGATTCTTCATGTGAGGGATCTCCTCTTGAGCGGTTGGTCCGGTTCATTAGCAGGGCTGTAGGATGTCACAGCAGCTTCTCAGGTTCTGAAAATACAGATAGATTTCTTATTGATATTCCTCTAGAACTTCCCCATAGTCGTCTAAACACAAAACGTGTGTGTGTGTGTGTGTGTGTGTGTGTGTGTGTGTGTGTGTGTGTGTGTGTGTGTGTGTGTGTGTGTGTGTGTGTGTGTGTGTGTGTGTGTGTGTGTGTGTGTGTGTGTGTGTGTGTGTGTGTGTGTGTGTGTGTGTGTGTGTGTGTGTGTGTGTGTGTGTGTGTGTGTGTGTACACACAGGTTGTTGAAAGTACCATGAAACTGAAAGTAAACACACCCTGCAGGGCTCACTTTACTTAGGCGCCTACAAAAACTAGATCAAACCGGCCGTTTCCGTTCAAGCATTGATGCTCGATAGTGAATGGAAACTGGTTTGAAGCCTCCAGCTCACTTTCCAAAACAAAACCATTGAAACTTGCATTACAATTGAATTGCTAATGTGTTTGATTAGCTTAAAATGGAAGCTGAAGCATGTTCCATTCATCTGCAGACCTGTATCTGCTCAACTTCTAGTTTTAGACAAAGGACTGCATAAAGTTATTGGGAAACTATTTTCATCTGGTTAGAAAATGCAGCTGCATGTAGAGCTATGGAGCTAATGCCAGGCTTCCAGAGTGTGTTTACCTTCGAGAAACTAGGAATGAGACCATCTTTAGATAGTGGAGGATGTTGCATTTTAAAGCAGCTCAACAGACCAAAAACAAAGCAGACAAACAGGACGGTCAGCAGCACAAGTATTGGGTCAAAAGGTAGTTTTAGTGATGGAAGAGGAGAAGAATTCCAGGAATGTGATCGTAAACAGGAGTCCCCTTATGAGCAAATAAGAAAACATCTTTTCCTGTCACTTCCAGGAAGCCAGTGCCACTTCCCATGAGTCAACCTGGAAAGTATGTTTTATTTTTAACTGTGACACTGAAAGAGCAAAAGCAGCCAAATAGCAGCAAATACTTACAGGCAAACTTTGCCCAGCCAGTGCTGCAAGGAGGAGGGAGGTGCAGCAGACAAAAGACCAGAAACAAGGGAGTGAATAAATGTGCAGACCAATACGGAAACAGATGCAGGAAATGCTGCTCCGAGATTAAACTCTCCAGTCTTCAAACTCACCGGTCCAGACAGAGCAAGGGGAATGCGCTGTGAGCTGCAGAGGGCAAGCGAGGCAACAGAGTTGGGAAGCTCCTGGATCGGCACCTCGTCCAGCTCCTCGATGCGAGGCTTCTTGATTTGCGACTCTGGGCTGGTCAGAGGAGTCACGCTGTTCCTCCGGATTAGAATGCCAGGACCCCTCTTAACCTCCTACAGGGGTTCAAAACAACGATCAGGACTCCAGACTCTAACGGCTTGTGAGTCTACATTAGTGAGTGATGTCTCACGAACCTCTGGTCGGTCTCTGTGGGTGTTCACAGCCTCCACGTTGAGGGAGATGGACTCCACTTTGCAGCCGTAGGCGACTGGGGTGAGCTTCAGCACTGTGTGGAGGGGACACTTCAGGTAGGGCATCTCATCTGGATCAACAAACACCAGAGAAGAGATGAAATCAGGGATAAAAACATGGCCTGGACACTTTAAAACCCAGGTGTGTGGCAGTTGTAGAACATACCTGCACTCTTATCTAAGAAGTAAGCAAGCAGGCAGCGCATGACAGCCTGGTGACAGACGACCAGAACGTTCTCCTGCCTCTCCAGCTCCATGATGACCGGCTCCACCCGCTGGACCAGGTCCTGGTAGGACTGTGATCCCAAGAACAGAGTTATCAACATGACAGCTGGACGTCATTTGTTCAGTATCGATGGCTGAAGCTGCTCCTGTACCTCTCCAGCTGGGTAGCGGTAATAATATTTATCTTCGTCTCTCAGTGCAAACTCCTCAGGAAACTTCTCCTTCATTTCATCGTACGTCATCTCCTCACAAATCCCCTGGAAGGAGAACCAACTTAGACAGGAAGCAACATCACAGAGTGATGAGATATTGAAGTGGGTTTGTGCTCACGGCGTCAATCTCGTTAAGTGCCTTCCACTGCTCGTACGGGACTCCCAGGTGCTCGGCCGTCTGGATGCTGCGGCGCAGCTGGCTGGACCAGACCTTCAGGTCCTTCAGCTGCTGCTCCTCCACAAATCGAGTCAAGGCAGCAGAGAACTACAGCGAGAGGCAACAAACTATCATTTATGCTCCTTAAACAACAACCTTTGGTCCATTTGCAGTTTTGGCTGTGGCGTTACCTGGCGACCTCTCAGCGAGAGGCCCGAGTCACCACCCAGCCGACCCTCCAGGTTGTCCGTGCTCTCTCCATGTCGACACAGGTAAATCGTACGCGGCTGGATGTGAATGTTCATCAGGTAGTAAACTATTTTACTCTGGATGTGATCCTGGATCCGGTTGACAAGGAAACGGCGGCCCACGTCTATGACTTTGATGAAGGAGAGCTCTCGATCGTGCTCGTCCGGGTCCAGAGGCTGGTAGCTGGTTCTGTAACATTCAATCCTCTTCTGAAAATCCGTCATGGCGTCAGTCGTGTTGCAGTCCCGGTAATCTGGACAGGACACCTTCACTTCCTGCACAGGAGGAATAAAGGTTAGGCGGCAAATAAAGCGCCTGCTGCCAGACGCGTTCACAACTCGGATGTTTGAAAACAAAGATGAGTTTGACTCACCATGATGTTCGACGCGATGACGCTGGGGTCGTTGCACACAGACTCGATGAAGAAGATCTGATCAAAACAAGAAGCTTGATTAGACGTCATGAAGGCGCCATGTTGTGACTTTCCTGTTGTTGGAACACCGACCTTGAAATCATTCTCTTTGCCAAAGGTGAGGATCAACTCCCGCCTGTCTCTTGTTGTGTTAGTGGCATCAAACACCTGGAAAGCACAACATCAGGATGGCTTAGTTTCATGACCGAGTTCTAGAACATCCAAGAAGGAGAAGAAAATATCATTTCTATAGCGCCTCTCAAGATTAAAATCACGAGGCGCTTCAAAGTCATAGGACTTCAAGTGATCACTAGTGTGATTCAAGTCATAAATGAGGAAACTCACAGCTGCTTGGCCTCCTTCGTCTTTCAGGTAAGACTTGACATCTCTCAGAGCTGCTAAGGCACACTGCCTAGAAACAAAAAAAATGTACAAATCTAAATTTAGTTAAGTCAAACACACTCCCAGCATCTGTTATTTGCATGCAAGGGCAGGACTTACTGCCTAATTTTAAAGGCAGACTCGTTGTTGGGCTTGAAGAAGTCGTAGGAGCTGTAATTCTTCACGGCCTCTCGGCGATACTCCCCAACATTGAAAACTGGATGGCAGAAACGAGAGCGACAAGTATGAACGCTATGTCCTGGAGTCAGAAACACGAGTTGTCGCTGCTCTGCTCGGGTCCTTCGTGTAACTGAGATGCAGCTGAGCTATCATATGACGGTCGCACCTTTGGTGGGTATGCCGATCCAGTTGAGGTAGCGGGTGAGTTTCTTCGACATGTAGGTCTTGCCCCGAGCCGGAAGACCCACCATCACAATGACAGTGGGGGGGTTGACAAAGTGGGGGGCACCAGTACCTGCAGAGATACGGTGCTCAACATCAGCATGACTTTCCACTAAAACCTTAAAGTCTCTGCAGGATGACACACTGACAGCCCACGCGTGGCTGCCTGCTGACACCTATCCCAACCCGTTACTTCCACCTCACCGCACACCTGACCCACTTTTGTGAAGTCCTGCACAAGCCCGGGTATATAAATAGTTTTCCTCTGGATGCACACATAGGATAATCCTCCCAGAGGCCTGTGGAAACTTTTATTGTCATGAGCTTTTACACTTTGTGTCATTTATGACAACATTTTACAACAGAGCTGTGAAAAATATTTGCCAGATTTCTTCTGGAGGGGAGTGGGGTCACAGAATGCGATACCAATTTTAGTACCAGATAAAGAATCAGAGGAAACTTTAAAAATACTGTTTTCACATGGTGGTTTCATTTATTGAGAAAAAGCATCCATCTAAAACAACTTGTTTCTGTAAAAAAAAGGAAATAAAAGTAGTGAAGAGCAGCAAAGCAGCCCAAGACCATCACACTACCACCCCTGTACTTGACAGCTGATGCAATGTTTTATATTTTCCTGTAACGTAGAGTTAGTTTAGCTAGTTTTAGCTCCTCAGTCCATATATCCATGTCCTGGAAATCATGTGAGACAGGGCTTTGTAGCCTTGAACCCATACAATCCCCTCTTCATTCATGTTCTTGCTGAGATTTAATTTACTCTCCTCCTCTGAAGTCCAATCAGATTTCCACAACACAAAGTGCCACGATACTTAAGTGGATCACACTCCTTAAGTCTGTCTGTGATGGTTCTCAGTCCTTCAGGTGAACTTATCTCAACTTATCTTAACGGAGTCATGCCAACACTCGTTCCAAGTTGCTCCTTCAGTCTGAAAGGATTTGGTTTGGGCCAGACTTATCCTGGTTTGCTTCAGCCAGAACAAAGGAGGACCCCAGGTTTGTGCCCCCCCCCCCCCCCCCCCCCCCCCCCCGGAGCTCCAGTCTCATCTACATTTGAGATTTTTTTGGTATTTCTACGCCTACCGCCTCCATCACACGTCTCATCAACCTTTTTTGTTTCCTAATTTATGAAACTACATCGGAATGACGTCGTTGCGTCAGCGCGTAAAACCAAATTGACCAATGGGATTTTTTTTACAGGCGTCACGTCCAAGAAACGAGAGAAAGAGATGGGGGGTTAGCGGTGGCCATGGAAACGGAGATTCGTCATGATCTAGTTGTGAGCAGGCGGAGACGTTGGTGTGAGCGTGACGCACCGCATGTGCTGATGCAAATCACCAATAAATTAATTGGAATTTAAAATACCGCAGCAGGTGCGCCGGAGTCTTTATTACAGTACGATGCGCTTTCGCTGTTTGCGATGCTAGCAGCATTACGGTAAAAGTAAAACGTTATTATCTTACCTCTCCTTTGCTTATCATCTTTGGTCGCAACCCAGATCTTTTGGATCCTGTTCTGGGTGAGCTCTCTTGGCATTCCTTGGTAGCTGAAAAAGCGCACAGAATAGCGGAACCGGTTATTTTAAGTTCTAGAACTTAAACCGTTCTTAAAAACCGAGCCGGTACGTCTGGTGGTCTGAGCTGGAGCTTCTGAGAGTCCTACGACCTCGTTGAGCTGAGCTAATCTGCCGGTCTGCAGCCAGCACACATCCGCTATTTAAACCACGCCTGGCTGGCCGGTGGCCCACGTGGGCTCGGTGACGAAACAGCACACGCGTGCCTACGCAAACCCATTCACATAAGCGGGAAACGCACGAGTACACGCACAAACGCGCGCGCATAAGAGAGTGTACTACAGAGCCTCCTTGTGGTAAAGTTTAATTTTCCAGCTCACTATTTTAAACGGAACTTATTATAATAGCTGAGTTTAATCATGATGATAATCCACATTTAAATGAACCACTCCGTTCTTTTTGTTGTCTTTGTAAAGAAAACATAATTTTATTAACATCTCCTTTATCTGTTTAATTTTTCCTTTGCTTTATTAGTTTATTTAACATTTTTTAAATTATCTTACCAACCATAACCTTTTATTTCCTGTTATCGCATGGTATTAAGATTTAAAAATAATCGTGTCATTTCCGATTGTGTTGCATTTGATCCATTGAAGCAACACAGTTTTTGTGAAATCTGTGTTTATTATTTTATTATTAAATAAAACGTTAATTGTTTGGTTAATGCGTTTTTTTATTTGCTTTCCTACTTTAACCATTGTCGTTCTGGTCAATCGTCAAAGTTTGCAGGCTATAACGCTTGAAAAACACATATAATAAAATGTTGGAATATTTACGTTAATGCTGTTGCATTTTTACATTTAATGACTTACTGCCCTAAATGAAAATAAACAATACAAAATAAATATATGTGCATATATTTTCATTATTAATCTAGTTTTTGCTGCTGTGAACAATAAAGCGTTAACAAGGTTTCAGCGCATCCTTCTTTTTTTTAAGTCGCACTAATTGAGATAAAAATGCACTTTTTCACTTTGCAGCTTTTGGGTTTTAGGGACTTTTTATCCCACAAAGGAAATTCCTCTGCTTTTATTGTCGTTCTAAAAAGCGATCTCTGATGCAGACGTGCGGAGCCGCACGTCGGCGAAACCATCTACCCCAGACTGGGCTGAACCACTGACTCACTCGGGGGTATAATTACACTTATAACGTTTTACTGTGACTTTTATTATGCTCCTCAATAAAACAGACTGACATATTAGTGACTATAACTACTTATTATAATAGAGAAAGGTGGGCATTTAAAAAAAGCAAATGTCTGATAACCTGCTGTAGACATTTTAAGACCTCCGGCTTAATATAAAATCTTCACAAGTTCATAATGTCTTAAAATAGTTTGTTACTTTAGTGTTGCATGCACCCCCTCTGAGCATCAGGGATGCAAAGTGACCTCCGTGTGTGGTCCGTCCGTGCATCTGCCCACATCACATTCCAGTCTCCAACCCTTAAAACAATCATTTAGTTCCGTAATTACCACATTTGCACTAAAAACGTGACTCTGTGTGAGACCCAATGAGCTCATGCATCAGCCTGACAAACTTTCCCTCATCAACCGTCTGGATAAAAGGAAACTGTCTGACTCAGAGAAGAGCACAAAGCTTCACCCAGGGCTGCAAGAAAAAACCTGCAGACTCACATTCCAGTTCTGTCATCTTGTTTATTTAATATAAGCAGCAACGAAAAAAGTTTGATAAGAGAATATCAAGACACTGACTCGTTACTGTGCACTGTTATATAAATTCTGGCTTAAGCACTGAGGTAACAAAAAACTTAAACATTTATTTGGTCATGTACATCGTATTTTATTTTGAAAAACTCTTGGAAGAGTGTGCTCTTGTCCAATGAAGAAAATTATACCTCAATATGTTACTCAAAATGTATTTAATTTGTTCAACAGAATGAAAACTGCATTACAAAATGTCTTCACCTTCCTGACTGGAAGATGTAGACCTAGAATAAATAAAGTTGATGTTTACCCTAAAACAGTCTGATAATTCAAGTGTTTGGGAACTTATCCAAGGACTGGGTGCTCAGGCCTACAAGAACTGCATGGGTTCTGATACTTAGAAGAAGAAGAAGAAGAAGAAAATGTCATTTCTATAGCGCCTCTCAAGATAAAAATAAAAATCGTGAGGCGCTTCACAAAAACAAAAAATGTAAAAAAGAATTTGGAAAATGGTTAAAATATATTTAAAATGAGCAAAAAATAGACAATTGTGATTTAAAAAATGTAAAGAATGAGAGAGAGAGTGAATAGGAAAGAGGGAAATCAGTGGATCCTGAGGAAGGTGGAATAGGTGGGGAGAGCAGAATAAAAAGAGAGTGGTGAAGAAGGTCATACAAAAGCCAACTTGAACAAGTGAGTCTTCAGCTGCTTTTTAAAGGAGACCACTGAGTCCACTGATCTCAGGTTCAGGGGGAGAGAGTTCCAGAGTCTGGGGGCCACAGCAGCAAATGATCTGTCACCTTTGGTCTTTAGCCTGGTGTTCTGCACAACCAGTAGGCTTTGGTCACTGAACCTCAGGGACCTGCTGGGGGTGTAGGGACTGAGAAGATCACCAATGTAAGATGGTGCTTGTCCATGTAAGGCCCTATACCAGAACCAGGATCTGAGATGAACCCTGAAGTTGACTGGCAGCCAGTGAAGCTGGAGGAGAAGCGGGGTGATGCGAGAGTATTTGGAGGACTTGGTCAGAAGCTGAGCACAGGCATTCTAAACCACCTGTAGACGGTTCAGGGAGGTTCTGCTCAGATACGTGAAAAGAGAGTTACAGTAGTCTAAGCGTGAGGAGATGAAGGTGTGGATAACTGTCTCAAGTTCAGAGCGGGACAGAATGGGACTCAGCTTAGCAATGTTCCTGAGATGGAAGAAGGAAGAGCGAACAAGAGAACTGACATGAGAATCCAGGGTGAGAGCTGGGTCAAAGGTCACACCAAGATTCCCGACGGAAGGTTTGGTGTGAGAAGCAAGCTGACCAAGAGAGTCTCTGACTTTGGGAACCAGCTTGTCTGGGGCACAGATGAGGATCTCAGTCTTATCTTCATTCTGCTGTAGAAAGCTCCCAGCCATCCAGGTTTTGATAGAGTCTAAGCAGGTGTGTAACAGCTGCAGCTTAGACATCTCATGGGGCTTAAAGGAGATGTACAGTTGGATGTCATCTGCATAAAGATGGTAAGAGATTCCTTTGAAGGAGCTCAGGATGTGCTGAAGAGGAAGCCGATAGAGGAGGAAGAGCAGATGCCCCAGCACAAAACCTTGTGGGACGCCATGGGTAAGGGAGGTGGTGGAGGACCTAAACTTGGAGATGGCCACAGAAAAGGAGCACTCAGAAAGATAAGAGGAGAACCACTCCAGAGCAGATCCTGATAGGCCTACCCAGTCTCTGAGACTCTCCAGTAGCAGGTGATGGTCAACAGTGTCAAAGGCTGCAGTCTGGTCCAGCAGGACCAGAACAGAACAGTCCCCTGCATCACTGTGAGTCAGAAGGTCATTAGAGACCCTAACAAGAGCTGTTTCAGTAGAATGAGCTCTACGAAAACCTGAATGGAAGCAATCATAGATGTTATGTTCATCAAGAGCAGCTGTGAGTTGTTTAGCCACAACCTTTTCCAAGGTCTTGGAGATGAACGGAAGTTTAGAGATGGGTCTGAAGCTGCTATGGAGAGAGGGGTCGAGACTCGGTTTTTTAAGAAGCAGGTGGATTACAGCGTTTTTAGAGTAAGCAGGGGCCTGACCAGAAACCAGAGAAGCATTAATCATAGAGAGCACGCTGGGACCGATGGACTGAAAAGCACTTTTAAACAAAGATGAGGGTAAGATGTCGAGGGGACATGCAGAGGTCTTCATAGAGTTAACGAACGAACGAACGAACGAACGAACGAACGAACTAACTAACTAACTAACTAACTAACTAACTAACTAACTAACTAACTAACTAACTAACTAACTAACTAACTAACTAACTAACTAACTAACTAACTAACTAACTAACTAACACCCACCAGGCTGTACATTTCACCTTTCATATGTTCTAGAGTTAAACCTAGATCATTTTTGTGTTTAGTGATTCAGACGTGTTTTGAGTCAAGTTGCAAATTGGTTGCAAAACCAAACAATAAAGTAGCTTGAGAAAGATTTTAAAACATATTGAAGAGATAAAATTCATCTCCTTCCCCTATGCAGCGTTCATTTACTCAAACATGGATTTAGCAGCTTCAGCTTCATTTGCAGTTTTACTGAAACCAAAGCAGGCGCGTATCACTGTTACTTCACAGAAGGTCACAGGTTTATATTGCGCGTTTTGTTTGTGTGTTCTCCCCGCCATGCAGCTTTTCACATTTCCTTAGGAGTGAGTATTTAAAGGGTATTATTCCCTGTTTGTCTCATTGACTGATGACCTGTCCAAGCCCAGGGTGTCCTCCACCTCTCACGTGATGACTGAGGAAAAAGCTGCTAGAAGATGAGAGCGAGAGTGAAACTAACACAAACATGCAGGAGGGTTTGCAAGGATGAGTTTCCACCAAATTAAATGTTAATTCATGAGGGACTGGAGGAAAATGACAGTAATTAAAGTGTTTTGTTCAAAAAATCCTTAATTAAGATCCCTTATAACAGATTTTGCTGTTGTCTCCTTCCTGGACATACAGTATTATACTATAAACATACCATTCTGTAGTAAAACAGTTGTTCAAACAGTGATTATAAATTGTAAGAACACATGTTTATCACGTGATCCTTTAATGTTTAGGGCTTTAATCCATATTATCATTTATAACAGTAAAACTATCAACAAACTACATGTGTTCCTTTATAGCAGGGGCGGGGAATCCTGGTCGTCCAGGGTTGCTTTCCTGCATGTTTTAGTGCTTTTCCTGCTCCAACACTCTTGATTCAGAGGTTGAATCACCTGTTCAGTAGTTCATTAAGCTCTGCAGAAGCTGCTCAATCAGGTTGATTTATAGTGTGCTTGGTTGTTTGTCCTGTGTGTCTGTGTTGCCTTGAGATGGATTGGCAACCTATCCAGGGTGTACCCTGCCTACCTGCCCAGAGATTGCTGGAGGTAGGCACCAGCACCCCATGACCCTGCATGGACAAGCGGGTATGGACAACGGATGGATGGATGGATTCCACAGTACCTATATGAGAACCTATATGAGCCAAAAGTGGAAGTAATTATCAGACATCACATTCAGGAATTTTTATTCCATTCTTTCTGACAATGTTTCCTCATTTAACTGAGGTTGTCAGCCATAGGTCTGGACTTTGAACTGTTGTAAATCTGCTGCTGCGTTTGGGATCATTGTCCTGTTTTCTGACCCACTTTGACCCAGTTTAGCTGTCAGACAGATGGACTCACGTCAGACTCTAGAATACTTTGGTCTACCAAAGAGTTCATGGTCAAGTTACCATAGGTGCCCAAATTGTCATACCTATCATCACTATCATGTGTTTGAGTTTCAGCTTCTGTCTGGTTCACCCAAAGGACATTGCCTCACAAGCCCTTTGGTTCATGCAAATGCAGCCAAGTTATTTTTAGACACAAGAGGTCATTTCCGGACCACCCAAACAAACAAGCCAGACTTGTTTATTGTCTTGCTGCTGAACTTTTTACCATCTCTTCTGCTCATCAAGGCTTGTTGTAAGAACTAATTCCTGGTTTCATCAGACAGGAAACTTACTTCTACAAAAAAAACAATGTTGACAACCAGTTTAGTGCATTTTAGTCTATTTTTGGTTGAACACATTCAGCTGAATTTATATTTATTCTAATTTCAATGATAAAGAAAAAGTAAAGATACTTTTTTTTGTCTTTTTTTTAAGTTACAGCGATGAAAGGGTTTGGTTGTTTGTTTGTTTGTTTGTTTACAAATGTCAATTTTTTAAACACTTTCTGGGCATCTCATACCCTTCACCTTGGCTCAAGTTTCCAACAGATGTCAAGAAATGTATACATCTCAGGAAAAGGTGTTTCAAATTAAGATCATTTTGAAGCTACTTTGGTCAAATCTTGATCTCACTGAATATTTTGTGTGATCTGTTAGCCTTTGAATTATGTGTTGTACTGTACTGTGGGTAAACATCAGATCTTCATGAAGAACAGACTCAACTTTGTTACAGTTATCAAACTAATCTGTTTAAATGAGTGTTAAGTCTAACTGCTAAGCATGGAGGTAGAAATGTAATGGTTTGGGGCTATACCTGATGATCCAGTAATCTTTAGTAGTTTCAAAGATAAAACAGAATTGTTCTCTTTTGTTTGTTTTAGAAGAACAATGGTGGTGGACAGGATGGGAATTTAATCCTATGATAAAGATGTTAGGGAATGAAGCAGTAGTACAAGACAATACCATGAAGCAGATTTCAGAGACAGATGAGCAAACTGATTCAACCTGAAGTAACGTATTGTTATCCTTCAAACTCATGTGAAGTCATGCTGGTATGCAGGTAGGTGTTTAAAAGGCTGTCAGTAAACTACTGACGTCACACTGTCCAGGTCAAGTTGCTGTTGAAAGACACTTCACCTTCCTTGCCTGCTGGTGCTGGTCGGCGGGACCGGTGGCAGTCTGTCAGTGTGCTCCAGGGCAGTTGTGGCTAACTGCCAGAGGTGTGACCAAGTCACAAGAAAGTCAATTCTCGAGTCAAGCCAAAGTCAAAGACAACCAAGTCCAAGTCGAGTCCAGAGTCAATGATCTGTAAGTCCAAGTCAAGTCCTAAACTTTTAATTTTCAAGTCATAATCAAGTCATCTGTCCAAATTCAATTTAATGACGATGATAATAAATAAATTCCAGAACTAAAGCTTCTTAAAGCTTTATTTATTTGCTCTAATTTCCCTCTGGGACAAATAAAGCTTTTCTGAAACAAGCAGAAAGTGCAACTGAAACACAAAGAGCTGCAGCATTCTAGCCTAATGAACTAGACCAAATTCTTGCTTTGCAAAGTTTGGTCTAGGCATGCTCCATTGGAACCTCAGCAGCTCCTACCAGGACTTTGGCTAGCCAATCACAGCTCTCTAGAGGGGTTTCAAACACATAAAGATCTGTGATTGGTCCATAATGGTGGGCCAATCATACTGCTCTATTTGCTTAGTGAACAAATCACAGAGCTTTATCCGCTTTGTGGGCCAATCAGGGCACTCTATATGCCTGGTGGGTGGGATGATGCAACAGAGTGAAACAAGAGTATGTCACATTCATTGTCCAGTGGAATGCGGAGATCATTTGAAAGACAACGGTAGAACCCGCCCCACAACCGAGAGCAGCCAATGGAGCATGGCCAGACTAAATAATACATTTATTTAGTCTGGCTTGCCAGGCTAGCAGCATTCAGCAGTACAAGATCAAACCCAGAACCAAGAATGATTCATGATTTTTGTCCATGTTGTACCACTTTTATGCTAAAATATCAAATATGCTCAAGTCATCATCAAGTCAACAGATGCAAGTCGATTCAAGTTGCAAATCATTAGCGTTCAAGTCCGAATCAAGTCATAAGTCTTTATGGATTGTATCAAGTCAAGCAAGAAGTCATTAAAATAATGACTCGAGTCTGACTCAAGTCCAAGTCATGTGACTCAAGTCCACACCTCTGCTAACTGCCTGTGGTATCAGACACTTTGGAGTCCTCTGACTTCATTTTCTTTGATGTTTTTGTTTTTAAGTCTCTGCAGGGTTGTGCTCCTAGCTACCTCTCTGAGTTACTCACTTGATACATCCCATCATGTGCTCTAAGGTCATTACAGCAAGACTTACTAGTTGTTCCACGTGTGAAATGTTCAACAGCAGGAAGCAGGGATTTCTCAGTTCAAAGCTGTAGATTGACCTTCCACTGGAGGTCAGACAAGCATTCTCATTGACCGTTTCTAAGAGTCAGATAAAGACTCACTTCTGTACTGTAGTGTTCCCTCAGCATGTGAGTTAGCCACATTTTTTAGATATTATAGTTAAATTAGATCCTGTTTTAGTGTTATTTTATCAATTGTTTGCTTTTATCCTGTTTTTGTCTTAATGTATATTTTGTGGGTCCTTGCTTGGGTCAGTGATGTTTTAAATTATTTTATGCTTTTATGTTCAGCGTTTTGGTTCACCTTCTTGCAGATGAAAAGCGCACTACAAATAGAGTTGATGATCAGCAAGCATTACTACCCTGAGCTGGTTGGTCCTCTGTTGTGTCTACACAATTTTTCAATTCAAAGTCACTTGCATTAGCAGACTTTTGGGTAGAGCTTCAATACAGCCTTGGGAAAATTTTTAGATTTACTTTCCCTTCAAATACAGACAAGTCACCCGATGATTTACCTTAATGTTTAGGATCATTAGTGCATCCAAGACCTCACAAAGGTATGCCGAGGTGCTATGTTCAACCATAGATTGTGCTTAAGTCCAAATTGTACCCTGCTTAGTAAATAAAGACTTATCTTTGATTGTGTGATACCAACGTTTATGAATGAGGATTGAAACCCTAAACACAAAATATGTGGTTAAGGTCTTGATTCCTCCAAAAAATGGTTAAAAAACTACATCCATTTGAAAGATAACCAGAATATTAGCAGTTTGTCCATTTTCCACGTTCAGGTTGTGGAGACTCTCAGCCACTGGGAACTCAGTGGCATTGCCAGGACTACAGAAACCTTCCTGTAAGTTTTAGGTGTGCCCCCTAAAAAAACTCCAATGCCCAGAAAAGATCTAATAGACACCAGGAGTTATCCCATTGAACCACATCTGACAGAAATACTTATCTCTAAGGCTGCCACCCTACAGCGGACTCAGTTCGTTTCTCAGTCACAAATCTCATCACCATAGGTGAGTAATGGGATGTGAACCAATCACAAGGTCTTTTATATGGTTGAGAAAAAGCATCAACACATCTAACAAAACAAAGGATCCTCTTTAGGAGGTAGGCCATCTTATTGTTGAAAGACAACATAAAATACCTTCTTCGAGAGAACATGTTTGGTTTAGATATTCGCTGATTAAAGGGTCATTCAGCTCCGGAAAAAACAGAAATTTTAAAAGCTTATTATTTAATAAATCCTTCGAAAAACAAGAGACGTGTTCTATGTTAAGATCTGAAATAACAATTCAATGCAAGTTTATTTATAAAGCGCCAAATCCCGACAAGAGTCGTCTCAAGGCACTTCACATAGTAAACATTCCAAAACAGGTCAGGTGATTAAGCCAATCAGTAAAACGTTTCTTACATAGGGAACCCAGCAGATTGGATCGAGTCACTGACAACAGCCTGGAGAGATAAACTGACTAGTCTGATTTAGCCAAACATTTACGTTTTGGTTTTTCTGTCATGACTTTGATCTATTTCTTCACATTCCAGCTTCAACAATCAACCTGTTTCGATGATCTGAATTAAAGTGTTCCGGTGGGACGGCGCTGTGGAGGAGAACCCCCAGGGTCTCTTACATAAGGTTTGAATGAGGCTGAGGCTCACTGTCCTAGTCCCCTTCCTATATTCCAGCAGAGCTAAGTTGGGACTCACACCCTGGAGACATATTGAAACAATCAAAGAAAGAGCATTATGTAACAAAATTCAAACAGGGAAACTGAGTTTCTTGGAAAGTGGGAGCTTCTGTCTTAGAGGATGTTTACATGACAAGTCTGGTTTTTGTTTCAGAATAAAACACTGATGAATAACACAGGCACAACACAAGGTACAACTTACACCTTTTATTTTCTCTCAACATGGAGGTATTTAACAAAAAAAACTCAACAGACACTAATGTTTGGAAAATATAGAAACAGACAATTTTGTACACATGAGAAGCTGAGGACAGCACAAGCCGATGTTCTTAGGGAAACATCAGACCTGCTCACCAAGATCCAAAACCCGAAACTTGTCTAGATTGTAGAAGCAGGCCTTGACGACTCGTCCTCCAAAATAACGTCCATTTAGATCCACAACAGCTGTAGAGGACACAGATGTAACATCAGACTACATGAGAGAAGCCACAATAATTTCAGATTTAAAAAAGAATAAAACATAGAGGAGTTTAAGTATCTCGGGTCTTGTTCACGAGTGAGGGTAGGAGGGATCGGGAGATCGACAGGCGGATTGGTTCGGCGTCTGCAGTCATGCGGACGCTGAGCCGATCTGTCGTGGGGAAGAGGGAGCTGAGCCAGAAAGCCAGGCTCTCGATTTACCGGTCGATCTACATCCCAATCCTCACCTATGGTCATGAGCTTTGGGTAATGACCGAAAGAACGAGATCGCGGATACAAGCGGCCGAAATGAGTTTCCTCCGTAGGGTGGCCGGGCTCAGCCTTAGAGATAGGGTGAGGAGCTCGGACATTCGGGAGGGACTCGGAGTAGAACCGCTGCTCCTCCGGATCGAAAGGAGCCAGTTGAGGTGGTTTGGGCATCTGGTCAGGATGCCTCCTGGACGCCTCCCCGGGGAGGTGTTTCGGGCATGTCCTGCCGGCAGAAGGCCCCCGGGTCGACCCAGGACACGTTGGAGAGGTTACATCTCCAATCTGGTCCGGGAACGCCTTGGGGTCCTGCCGGAGGAGCTGGTGGACAAGGCCGGGGAGAGGACGGCCTGGAGCTCCCTAATTGGGATGCTGCCCCCGCGACCCGGACCCGGATAAGCGGAGGAAGACGAAGACGATAAAACATAGCCATAAAGATCCAGGACCCAATTATTACTGGATTAAATCTACAAACACATGAAAAGTAGTTTAACAAAAGACTTGTCAACAATTACACTTCTCTGTTCTACTGACTAACATTAAGGCTAAATACGCCATCGGCAGTGATTTTAGGGTCATTCGATGTCAGATCATCTCGGTACCCATCCCCAATCCAGTGTTTCATGACCCCTAGTGGGGACCTGACCTCAGCTTTGATAACTGATGACAATAATACAAACTGAACTGTAAGCGTGGGTTAGACTAGACAGAAGGAATAAACCTGAGACTTAAGTGGGGAATGAAAACAAAAGAACCAAGTGGTAAAATAAGTTGAAGATTCTATTACCGCCATGATCCTAGCATGCATTAAGAGATTTCTCCACTTAGTAAACCTTTTTTGTTGACAAAACCAATCTTGTAGCATGACAGGTTCTTTAACGGTGCGCCCTGCTTTCAGTAAGCTGTGATGTAAGACCGGTTCTGTTGGTGCCGTGGGGAGACGACTGGGTTGCTAGGCCACATATGACATAACACCACAGGGAACCGAGTCTCCCCTTGTTTCAGATCTGGGCCAACTCATTTAGAGAGGGACACACTTTCACCCACATTATTAGAGCAGCTACACAATCATGGGAAGAAAGTGAAGCAATTATGTAAAGTTGATCTCTTATATGTGACGGTGAACACTGACCTTTGATGGCCGACTCGACCCGCTCAAACTCCAGAAATATCCTGACGGCTTCATCATCTAGCACTTCTGCGATCTGAGGAGAAAAAACATCTTTCTCAGTCTCATCTGATCACTTTACCTCCATCTACTTGATCTTCATTCTTCTTACCTCAAAAATGACACATTTAACAACTTTGCCATATTTTTCACACTCTTCTTTTGTCTCTCCCTCCAAGTCTTCGTCCACTTCTCCCCGACCCACCATGTTCTACATAATAAACGGGGGAAAATAACTTTATTATCTAACTTCAAACTGCTTTGACTCTGGTTT